TAGGGAGAGACTGCACCTCTCAGATCTCGCTCCTCACTCGCCCTGCGGTTGCAGCTGGTGGGCCAGGCAGGTCTGGCCACTGTGGCAGAACACAGGTGTGCGCTCTTGCTGCCACCTCAGCACTGGGCATCCAGGCCTGAGAGCCTCGAAGCAGACCCTTCACTGCTGCCTCTTTCAGCCCTGCTTCACTAGGACCCCTTGTCGGGCTTGGCTCCTCTCCTGTCCCCAGCCCCCGCCAACCCTCCGGCCACAGCCAATGACTGCCTCCACCCTCCACCTAAACCTCCATCCCTCCCCACCCCCTGAGGACTCCTCAGTCTTCCTCCAGGTCTCCATCCCAGCCCTAGCAGGGCCAAGCCCACATCCCTTCTCCTAGAGCCCCTGTCTCAGGGAGACCTTTCTGCCTGGTTGACCTGAGAAGGTCCCGCCTCCTCCCCCAGCAGCATGCAGCCTGACCCCTTCAGCCTACAGCTCAGGCTGTGCCCCTGTGGTCTGCCACTCCTCCACCCCTCTGCAGTACCCTGCCCCCCACCTCAGAGAGCTCCCTGGAGCTTGGGGGTTCCTAGGCTTAGCCTTAGGCAACCCTGCCAGTGCTCTGGCCACCCAACTTCTGGGAGGCAGCAGTACTTTCTTTGCCAGGACTCTGCTTGGCCGGTGCCCTCCGGGCTTTTAGGCCATCCTCTTTGCCACCTGCTGGACTCTTCTTCACCACTCAGTATCCAACTCTCTGGTGTCATTTCCATTGTGAAGCCCCAGATGCCTGTAACACCCAGGTTCAAGCCTCTCTGTGGGGCTCTGGGTTCCCCAGGGGCTATCATCAGTGGGGGCCCCAGGACCCAGCAGAGGACAGACCCAGGGAGATAGGAGATAGAATGTTTGCAGAAAGCCCTTCCACCTTCCTGGGCCTGCTGAGCCTGTGGAGGAGGGGGATGGGAGACTGATGGACAAGGGACACCTTGGGTCCCTCCTTGACCCTGCACCAGCTCCGCCAAGAGGCCTTGATGCCCTCTACCCACAATGAAGTCAGAAAGCAGAATCAATAAGGGATATTAAACTGATTTTTCTCCTAAATAAGATCACCTGTGTGGCTTATCTCATGCAAGGGAAAAACCAAGGCAAGAAGGAGAAAGGGATCCATGGTGTTGAGCCCTGCCCGCTTGGACACTGGTGCCCACCGCTGTTATTAACCAAGGAGCTGAGTGGCCTGGTGAGTATGGACAAACTCACTGTCATACAGCTATAGCTGCACATATAACACAGCTGGCTTGACGCCCTCCTTGGACGTGTGATGGGGGCTGGCTTTCCCTCTGGGTGTCCAGGAGAGGTTAGGGGAATACATAGCCCCATGGAAGAGATGCAGGCCTCCAGGACCTCTTATAGGGCAACAGACACGAAGATTGGGCTCAGTTGTTTGGGAGTGAGCCTGAACCCAGAACTCAGTCAAGAGAACCTGCCCTCTCCCTGACACCCAGGGCAGCTAGGATCTGGCTGGCTAGGCCACAGGTCAGGTGGATGGAGTCAGGACTTGTGTTCTCCCGCATGGTGGCTGGCTTAGCCCTCTGGGTCTGGGATGGGGGCTGTGGAGGGATGATTTGAGGGATTCTGGGTGGGTAGGGAGTAGGAAGTTTTCCTGACATCAGGAGCCATGGGGCTGCCCAGGAACGTGGTGAGGTGTTCTTCCAGGCCTTGGTAGGCCCTGCAGCCTCAGAGGTCCCAGATCTAATGGGGCCCCCTCCCCGTTCTGCACCTGGCATCTTGGCCTCCACCCACCTGTTGTGGGGGGCCTGGGCCTGAGCTGGGGAGTGGCTTCCAGCCTGGCTCCTCTCCACAGTCTCCCTCAATCCTCCCAAGTCTTCTGGCTCGCAGAGCTTGTCTCTTTCTCTCTTCCCCAGCTGTTTCCCCACCCTGCAAATGGGTTAAAAATACCAAGGCTGCCACCACATCAGTAGTCTCAGCAACTATTTGGAGTGGGGTGGGCCCTCTGGGAGATGCATCAGCTTCATGGATGTCTCCACTGGCTGGAGACAGCCCACTTCATACTGGGACCCATGTCTGGAAGCAGGAGCCTGGGTCCCTTCCCTAGCTCTGCCTAAGGGTCCCAGGCCTCTTAGCTGCAGCTGCCCACGAGTGGAGCCAGAAAGATGCACCTTCTTAAGCTGGGGTGCTCTGGGGTGGGTATACAGGGCCAGGGAGCACTGAATCTCTGGCTATGCTGACCCAGCTGGTCCCAGGCAAGAGGGAGGCTAAGGTTCAGCCCTGGAAACCTCCAGGCAGTAGGGGATCCGCAGGAGTCAACCTCAGGGAGGCCCTCCCTTAGGATGCAAGACACCTGGGATGAGCCATCCCCCTCCCCCCGCTTCCCTCAGCTGCCCCCCATGGCTGGGAATTTCCCAACTGCCAAAGACAAGGAAGAATTGAAAGGCCGCCCCCGCCAGTGCTGGGACAATGGAGCCTTATGCCCTCCAAATCAGAGCAGGGGTAGGAAGGCCAGCGGCAGGTGGGGGCCTAGTTGCACCCAGGGAACCTTTGCTTGCCAGGACCCCACCC